ACTCATTTATCTATCCTTTGATCCTGGAATAGTTCTTGGCACACAAAAGATGTTTAATGAATGGTTGTTGACTGTATGACTTTTCTTGAGTAGCTGCTATATTCTTTCAGGGTTTTCAAGGTAAATGGAACATGGTTACCAGCAGTTATGGGTCATATTGTTTTTCTTTTTCTTTTCTTTTTTTTTTTGAGATAGAGTTTTGCTCTTATCTCCCAGGCTGGAGTGCAGTGGCATGATCTCGGCTCACTGCAACTTCTGCCTCCCGGTTTCAAGGCATTCTCCTGCCGCAGAATCTGGAGTAGCTGGGACTACAGGCATACACCTCTATGCCCAGCTAATTTTTGTATTTTCACTAAAGATGGGGTTTCATCATGTCTGCCAGGCTGGTCTCAAACTACTGACCTCAGATGATCCACCTGCCTCAGCCTCCCAAAGTGCTGGGATTACAGGTGTGAGATGGGTCATATTCTTGCAACTCCATGATCAAATAGGTAAGTGAGGCTTTCTCTTTCTAGGTCCACCTGACAGTTCCCAGGAAAGCAAGCCAGCTGGCTTGGGCCAAGAGCTTATCTCTGTGCTTATCACTTTTTTTAATTTAAATTTTTAATTTTTTGTGAGCACATAGCAGGTATTTACAGGTTACATAAGATATCTATGGGTTATATAAGATATTTTGATATAGATATGCAACACATAATAATCACATTAGGATAAATGGACTATCCATTACCTCAAGCATTCATCCTTTGTGTCACAAACAATCCAATTATACTTTTAGTTATTTTAAAGTGTACAATTAAATTATTTTTGGCTATAGTTACCCTCATTGTTTTCTTCATTTTTTTTTTTTTTGAGACAGAGTTTCACTCTGTTGCCCAGGTTTGGGAGTGCAGTGGCACGATCTCGGCTCACTACAACCTCTACCTCCTGGGCTCAAGTTATTCTCATGCTTCTCATGCCTCAGCCTCCCAAAGAGCTGGGATTACAGGTGTGAGCCATTGCGCCTGGCCTTATTCATTCTAACTATATTTTGTACCCATTAACCATCCCCACTTGCCCCCCAATCTCCCCCAACCCCACTACCCTTCCCAGACTCTGGTAACCATCACCCATCACTTTGGACAGAGCATGGCATGTTATGACTGGCTACTTTTTTTTTGAGATGGAGTTTTGCTCTTGTTGCTCAGGCTGGAGTGCAATGGTGCGATCTTGGCTCACTGCAACTTCTGCCTCCCAGGTTCAAGCAATTCTCTTCCCTCAGGCTTCCAAGTAGCTGGGATTATAGGCATGTACCACCACACCCGGCTAATTTTGAATTTTTTTTTGACAGAGTCCTGCTCTTTGTGCCCAGGTTGGAGTGCAATGGCATAATCTCGGCTCACTGCAACGTCCACCTCCTGGGTTCAAGCGATTCTCCTGTCTCAGCCTCCCAAGTAGCTTGGATTATAGGTGCCCGATACCATGCCTGGCTTATTTTTGTATTTTTAGTAGAGACAGGGTTTTGCCATGTTGGCCAGGCTGGTCTCGATCTCCTGACCTTGTGATCCACCCACCTCAGCCTCCCAAAGTGCTGGGATTACAGGCATGAGCCACTGTGCCTGGCCTAATTTTGTATTTTTAGTAGAGATGGAGTTTCTCCATGTTGGTCAGGCTGGTCTTGAACACTTGACCTCAGGTGATCTACCCACCTCAGCCTCCCAAAGTGCTGAGATTACAGGTGTGAGCCACCTTGCCCGGCCATGATTGGTACTTTTGAGTCAGGTGCCAATCCCTGAGGTTATGGGGTGGTTGGAATCTATTACCTGAAGGTGGAGTGACATTGTCACCATTTTGGGAAATACTGATCTTCATGAGAATATGTGTAAATTGTGAATGCCATTTGTCCCTTTTGTCTTGTAGAAAAACACTTGAAATGGCTTGGTATGTTGGCTCATACTTGTAATTCCAGCACTTTGGGAGGCTGAGGCAGGCAGATCACAAGGTCAGGAGTTTGAGACCAGCTTGGCCAACATGGTGAAATCCCGTCAGTACTAAAAATACAAAAATTAGCCGGGCATGGTGGCACGCACCTGTAATCCCAGCTACTCAGCAAGCTGAGGCAGAAGAATTGCTTGAACCTGGGAGGGGGAGGTTGCAGTGAGCTGAGATCGTGCCATTGTACTCCAACCTGGGCAACAGAGTGAGACTCTGTCTCAAAAAAAAAAAAAAAAAAAAAAAAAGAAACAAAGAAACAGAAATCACACAGAAGAGAATTTTTTTTTCTGAGATGGAGTCTAGCTCTGTCACCCAGGCTGGAGTGCAGTAGTGTGCTCTTGGCTCATGGCTCACAGCTCACTGCAACCTCTGACTCCTGGGTTCAAGCAATTCTCCTGCCTCAGCCTCCCAAGTAGCTGGAACTACAGGCACATGCCACCATGCCTGGCTAATTTTTTTTCTTTGAGAGGGAGTCTTGCTCTGTTGCCAGGCTGGAATGCAGTGTCGTGATCTTGGCCCCGACCCCATTTTAGAGCTAAGAAAAAGAAGGGTAAGAAAGGTTAGGTAACAAGTGAAAAGCCTGGAGCCCTGGTTCCCCTGGCTCCATATCCAGTCCTCTTTCCAGTCAGACACTGCTCTACAGAAGCTCTTCCAAATACCACATTGTTAATGTTCAGAAAAGAATGTTAAGAAGTTCAAAAAGATCTTAATTAAGAAAAAAATAAGCCTCTGCAGGAGCCGAAGGGACTGAGCACTTTGGTAGTTTGGAGATGGCTAATTATGGTTCTTACACAGTTGTTGGGGGTAGAGAGAGCATTCTGGGACAGTCCAACAAGGGAAGTCACTAGCCTTCTAACTTTAGCAAACAGACTCTCTAGCTTGGAAGTAGAACTGGTAGCTCAGCATTTACCGGGCTAGAAAGCTTAGGGAGTTTCAAAGGGCACTGCAAATCAGGTGAGGGCTGACTATTTTGGTTTATAGCTTACATATAAACGAAAACTTTGGTTTACAGCTTGCATTTCTCTGAGAAAGAGCTATCAGAAAGGTAGGTCATTGAATGATCATAGCTTTTCTATAATAGTCAAATTAAAATATTGTGTTCCTTTTTGTGACAGAAATTTTGAAACATGAGCTGGTATGCTGGTGAGTGCCTATAATCGCAGGTACTTGGAGGGGCTGAGGCAGGAGTCCAGCCTGAGAAACATAGTGAGATCCCATCTCCAAAGAGAAAACCAAATTATTAAACATGCATGAAATAAGAAGAAAAGAAACCCCCATGTCACATCATCTGCCTTCAAAAATTATCAATATTTTGCCATTCTTATGTGCTTGACTTTTTTTTTTTTGAGACAGAGTCTCATTCTGTTGTCAGGCTGGAGTGCACTAGTGTGATCATAGCTTACTGCAGCCTCCAACTCCTGGGCTCAAGCAATCCTCCCACCTGAGCCTCTAGCTGGGACTACAGACTCATGTTACCACACCCATAATATTTTTATATTTTTTAATAGAGATGAGGTCTCTCTATGTTGCCCAGGCTGGTCTAGAACTCCTGGGCTCAAGCAATCCTCCCACCTGAACCTCCAGGGTAGCTGGGACTACAGACTCACACCATCTAATTTTTACATTTTTAGTAGAGATGAGGTCTCCCTATATTGCCCAGGCTGGTCTAGAACTCCTGGACTAAAGCAATCTTCCTGTCTCCACCTCTCAGAGTGCTGGGATTGCTCACTGTAACCTCCGTCTCCCAGGTTCAAGTGATTCTCCTGACTCAGGTTCCCGAGTAGCTAAGATTATAGGCATCCCTCATCACACCCAGCTAATTTTTTGTAATTTTAGTAGAGATGGGGTTTCACCATGTTAGCTAGGCTGGTCTCAAACTCTTGACCTCAGGTGATCCACCTGCCTCAGCCTCCCAAAGAACTGGGATTATAGGCGTGAGCCATTGCGCCTGGCCCTGTGGGCACCTTCTTAACTCCCTGTAGCCTGAAACTCCTGGGCTAAAGCCATCCTCCTGTCACAGCCTCCCGAGAAGCTGGGACTACAAGTGCACGCCACCACACCTCTGCTAATTTAAAAAATTTTTGGTGGAGACAGGGCCTCATTATGTTGGCCACCCTGTGCTTGACTTTTAAAAACGTGTTTGTGTAAGACTTTCTTTAAAAGATATTAATGATGCCATCTTAGCAAATATACATGGGAAATTAACAAGGAACAATAAAATGATCTTGTTCCAAGAACCATGAATTTGGAGCCTTTCATTTTTCTTTATTCAGGGTGGAAATGAAGAGCAGCTGCTGAGCTTGGTAAGGTAGCCACAGGAATAACTGAAGACTTAGGGGTGGGAGTCCAAAAGCTTGGAACAAGATTTTGTTCATTCATTCTTACAGCCATTCAACCAGCATATTCTGGGCACTTATGCACCCTGGCCATCCACCAGGGAGACAGGCCATGCTCAGACCCAGGCTTAGTGCAAATCATGTTTTTATCCTTTCTTGGCTCTAAGACCTTGGACAAGTTCTGCTTTTCAGCCTCACCTTCCTCATCTATAAAATAAGGAAAATGTTGAGTGGGGCACTGATAGAATTAATAGTGAGATGATTGGTCGGGTGTAGTGGTATATGCCAGTAATCCTACTACTTTGGGAGGCCAGGGTGGAAGGATCACTTGAGCCTAGGAGTTTGAGACCAGCCTGGCAACAAGGTGAGAAATTATCAAGGAACAATACAATGATCTTGTTACAGCATCATGAACTTGGAGCCTTTGATTTTTTTGTGTCTCTACAAAAATTACAAAAAATTAGCCAGGCGTGGTAGCTGGTGCCTGTAGTCCTAGCTACTTAGGCCGTGTTGGAAAGATTGCTTGAGTCTTGGGAGGTGGAGGGTTCTGTGAGCCACGATCGTCCCACTGCATTCCAGCCTGGGCGGCAGAGTGAGTCTCCCTCTCCCCTCTCCCCGCTCCCTCTCTCTCCTCCCTCCCTCTCTCTATCTCACACACACACACACACACACACACACACACACACGTGCCGTTTGCCATGGTTATCTGTTAGGCTTTAGGGCTTGAAGACAGAAATGATAAGGCAGTCTGTCTTTTATCTTCCTTTCCCAAGCTAAGAGGGTAGCATGCAACATGTGAAATGCTGAAAGCCCGCCCCAATCGACGACAGCATTCACTCAGCTCTCCAAATCCTCTGGGTCCTTCTCTGGAGTTACTTGGCTTTCTTGAGGTCTTGCAGCTCTGTAAGGGTAATCTGTGCTAAACCTTGCTGTCGTCCGAGGTCAAATGTTTGGCTCACAGGTTGGAGAGCTTCCCATGGCACCCTCGTTTGGTCCTGAGGAGGGCAAGTCGCCCAGGGGACGGGCTGCTGGAGCGCCAGGCAGCTGTCTCCCAGTGTCCCCAAATCCGTGGCCGAGGGGGCGTTTCTGCGTCGAAGGGGCGGGCACAGTCGGCGCCTCCCTGCTCCACCTTCTGGGTCGGCGCCTAGACTCGGGGGGTGAATTTCGGAAAGTTTCCGTCGGGGGCGAGCACGTGGGCACCTCCGGACCCGGCCTCCGCGCCGCGCTCTCGGCTACCCCGTCCCTCCAGCGGCGCGCGCCGCCCTCGCCTCACCCCCGGGCGTAGCTCCGGGCTTCCTTTGGCGTCGCCAGCTCGGCCTCCTACCGCCGCGTCACCCGTCGTCCCCGGCTGCGCTCGCACGCGGTGCGCGGCTCCCGGGCTCCAGGCGGCAGCGCATTAAAGGGCGCCCCCGAGGAGGCCCTGCTAGCGGTGGGCCTGAGAGGCGGGGACGGGGCGTGCCGCGGGCGCCCGGCTCCCGGAAGCGGCTGCCTCACGGGCTCCCTCCGAGCGGACCGGCGCGACGGCCGGAGCTCCAGCATCCCTGCTAGCGGTCTAGGTGCGGAGCCCGCGGCCATCGCCGCCTGATCAGCGGGACCTCGGCCCACGCCCGCCCCGCCCAGCGAGATGCTGCCAGTGTACCAGGAGGTGAAGCCCAACCCGCTGCAGGACGCGAACCTCTGCTCGCGCGTGTTCTTCTGGTGAGTGTCTCCGCCCGAACCGGGTCACCCTGCAGCCGCTGGCCTCGCGGACGGGCTGTCCTACTACCGCGCCCGATGTTGCCCGCGCCTTCTGCGGCCGGGGCGACGGGAGCGATTTCCTGTGTCACGCGGTCCACGCTGGGGCTTTCTGCTGCGGGTGGCACCCCGCCTGCGCCCCTGCGCGCGGGGCGTGGGGACGCGGGGGACGCGGGGACCCGGCACTGGTGGCGCTGGGTCGGCGGCTTTGTTGCTGGAGGCCTGGCGGGCCCTTAGGGCTCGGGGAAGGAGGAGCTGGAGGTGGGGAGGCGGGGAACCCAGGCTGCCGAAAGGGGGAGTCTCTGGCCTAGCGGGAGAAGCGGCTGCACCGCCTGCACGCCCACCCTTCGCTGGCTCCCCACCTCCTGCTCTGGGACTCGCTGTCTCCTGAACTCAAACGCACCCTTTCCTTTCTTTTTAAGTAAGCAGCTTACGAACATCTTCCTTTATTTAATCTCAGCCAAAGCCTAATTAGTGTCCTGGACCTATGCCATCTCCCTCTAGTGTCCCCACCCCTTTTGATATTCCTTACCAGACAGCTCCATCCAACTCCACGTCCCGCTGTGTCTCTCTGTGTCCAGGTGTCTCTACATCGTTTGTCTCAGTGACCAGGACTCTCCTGCCTCTCTGTGTGAATCTCACTCTGTGTGTCCATGTGGGTTGTGGTACCTCGTTGTGGCAAGTTTCATGTGGGTAAAATAACACTAGCATTATTTTTTATTTATGAATGGGGACACTGTTCTTGAACGGGACCTTCCAGGTTTTGCTTTTAACTGGGACATGCACAGCCACGACTGGAGTCTCTCTTTGACCAGCTTCTCTCCCTGTTTCCAATATTTTCACTTCTACCCAAGAGGACTGCTCCTGGGCGGGGTCCCTGGAATCGTTAACCCTCAGAGAGTTCACCTGTGGTCTTGATGCAGGTGGTTCCTACCAGGCATTCTACCATCCTAAAACCACCTGAGGGCCCCTGAGCTGGGAGGGCCCCTGAGCTGGGAGGTCCCACAGCCCTGCCCATCTTGTGCAAGGAAGAGGCGGAGAAAGACTCAGGTGACAGTCATACCTAAAATTTCCATCTTAGCCGGGCGCTGAGTGGCTCACCCTGTCATCCCAGCACTTTGGGAGGCTGAGGTGGGCGGATTACGAGTTCAGGAGTTCGAGATCAGTTTGGCCAACATGGTGAAATCCTGTCTCTACTAAAAATATGAAAATCAGCCGGGTGTGGTGTCAGGTGCCTGTAATCCAAGCTACTTGAGAGGCTGGGGCAGGAGAATTACTTGAATCTGGGAGGCGGAGGTTGCAGTGAGCTAATGGTGCCACTGCACTCCAGCCTGGGCAACAGAGTGAGACTTTGTCTCACAGGAAAAAAAAAAATATCTGTCTTGTACCCTGGACTGCTAACTATGTGAGCCTGAATCTTTGAAGAGCTTCAATCTCACTTGGTTGATTATTAGATCTCTGTTTCTTGACCTCTGCCGCTTCATCTTTCCCACATGCTATTGCCTTTTATTATGGGGCAACCTAGGCCGGGGGTCTCTGATCTTTTGAGTTCCCTGGGCCACACTGGAAGCATTGTCTTGGGCCTTACATAAAATACACTAACACTAATGATAGCTGATGAGCTTAAAAAAAAAGAAAAGAAAAATCACACAAAAACCTCATGCTGTTTTAAGAAAGCTTAGAAATTTGTGTTGGGCCACATGTGGCCTGTGGGCCTCAGGTTGGACAGGTTTGACCTAGGGCATTGCAAGAGGATGAGTCGCTCTCTCTCGTTTCAGTTGCGGTGCACTCAGTGGGTGTAGGAGCCTCTCTTGGTTGGTTGGCCGCCTTTCTCTTTAGGGGAGAGGCGCGTGGAGGAGGAAGGAATATGGGTGTGGTTGCTGTAAATAATAACTTGAAGTAGACAAATGGTCTCCTCAACTTCAGGCAGGGCAAGGAACTTTTTTTTTTTTTTTGAGACAGGATCTTGCTCTGTGACACAGGCTGGAGTGCAGTGACACATTCATAGCTTATGGCAGCCTCCAATTCCTGGCCTAAAGCAGTTTTCCTGCCTTAGCTTCCCGAGTAGTTGGGACTCCAGGTGTGTGCTATAACACCTGGATAATTTAAATTTTTTTTTTTTTTTTTTTGGTAGAGATGGGGGTCTCTTTGTTGTTGCTCAGGCTGATCTTGAACTCCTGGGCTCAAGGGATACTCCTGCTTCTGCCACCCAAAGTGCTGGGATTAGAGGTGTGAGCCCCGCCCCCCTACATTTTCAAAATGTGGGTGGCAGGGAAATGGGAAAGTGATGCCTTCCCGTGACTTGAGTAGGTTGTTCATCCCGGTTTCTCTGCTGGAGGGGAAGGGCTAGTACGTCTATTTTACTCTGTGGACACTCAAGCTGAGAGAGTGGTTGAGTACGTTGCTTGGACCCACACAGCAATCCAGTGTCAGAGCAGGCTCTGAAGCTGGGCAGACCGGCTCCCCAGCCTCTTTGGAGCTGCTGTACTGAACTGCTTCCAGTTTAGGTGCTTTTTGGAAATGCGTGGAGAAGGCACCCTCTGTTCTGGCAGGTTAGAGTTTCTCCAGGGAAGCTGTTAAAGTACTTGCAGTTGGAGATGATGCACGTGTGACAACTATTAACGTGCTTTAGGGCAGCTGTTCTCAAAGCATGGTACTCAGAGCGGCAGCATCAGCATCATTTGGGAGATTGTAAGAGATGCAGATGCTGCAGCATCCACTCTGGACTGACTGAGTAAAATTGGAAACACCGGGTGTGTGGGTGGGGTTGCTGAGGTTTCAGGTGCTCCCGTGACCCTGGTTTGAGGCTCTTACTGCTTCCAGCTATTCCTCTCATTGTCATGTTATTGTACTATTATGCTTTTCTTTATTTTTAATTTTTAAAATTTCTTTTCTTTTTTGAGATGGAGTCTTTCTCTCTTGCCCAGGGTGGAGTGAGATGGTGCAATCTCTGCTCACTGCAACCTCTGCCTCCTGGGTTCAAGCGATTCTCCTACTGCAGCCTCCCGAGTAACTGGGACTACAGGTGTCCACCCTCAAACCCAGCTAATTTTTGTATTTTTAGTAGAGCCGGGTTTCACCATATTGGCCAGGCTAGTCTTGAACTCCTGACCACAGGTGATTCTCCCTCCTCAGCCTCTGAAAGTGCTGGGATTGGATTATAGGCGTGAGCCACCGTGCCTGGGCCAGTTTGAGGAATTCTAAAGTCTGAGGCCTCTTAGTGAGAAAGGAACTATCTGAGGAATGTGGAGTTCTTTTAAATTATCAGGCCCACAGAGACATTAAAATGACACAGCAGTCCCTTGGACTTCCCACTCCACTTCCCACCCCCTTGAGCTATTTACTTATAACTTGAAAGTACCTCATATTGCCACATAGCTATAGATTAACCTTACAATGCCCCATGGACACTGTAATCCACACCCTCTAGTTTAAGAATGTATAGCAAATGTCTAATCCGTTAGACAAATGTCAAATCCATCTAATCCGGGAGTTCCTGACAAACTTTCTAACAGCCCACTCCCTGTTTTCTTTCTTTCTTTTCTTTTCTTTTTTTTATTTTCTTTCTTTCTTTCTTTCTTCTTTTTTCCCAAAGACCTCTTTGTAACAAATTCCCAAGGTAGTTCACCAGAGCTCATATACAATGCTATTTGGGTCTGAGTCTTCTGGGTGCCTGTCCTGACTTTGGCTGTAGTAAATTCTGCAACCTCTGCCTCTTGGGCTCCAGCGATTCTCCCACCTCAGCCTCCCGAGTAACTGGGATTACAGGCATGTGCCACCATGCCTGGCTAATTGTGTATTTTCAGTTGAGACAGGGTTTCTCCATGTTGCTCAGGCTGGTCTCGAACTCCTGACTTCAGGTGATCTGCCCACCTTGGCCTCCCAAAGTGCTGGGATTACAGGTGTGAGCCACCGAACCTGGCAGTATTTTCTCCCATTTTTTTTTTCTTTCTTTTTTTTTTTGAGACAGCATCTCGTTCTGTCACCCAGGCTGGAATGCAGTGGTGCTATCTTGGCTCACTGCAACCTCTACTTCCCCAGTTCAAGCGGTTCTCCTGCCTCAGCCTCCCGAGTAACTGGGATTACAGGCACCCGCTACCGCACTCAGCTAATTTTTGTATTTTTAGTAGAGACAGGGTTTCACTATGTTGGCCAGGCTAGTCTTGAACTCCTGACCTCAGGTGATTCACCTGCCTTGGCTTCCCAAAGTTTTGGGATTACAGGCGTGAGCCACCGCACCTAGACTCGCATTTTCTTTTAGCTATTGTTTCATTCCTTTTTTTTTGTTGAGATGGAGTGTTACTCTTGTTGCTCAGGCTGGAGTGCAATGGTGCGATGTCAGCTCACCATAACTAACCTCTACCTCCCGGTTTCAAGTGATTCTCCTGCCTCAGCCTCCTGAGTAGCTGGGATTACAGGCATGCACCACCACATCTGATTTTTAATAGAGACAGGGTTTCTCCATGTTGGTCAGGCTCGTCTTGAACTCCCTACCTCAGGTGATTCCCCCACCCTGGCCTCCCAGAGTGCTGGGATTACAGGGATGAGCTACCGCGCTGGGCCTATTGTTTCATTTCTAACAATAAAGGCAGCTAGAATTTCTTTAGGTGTTTGATATGAGACAGTCCCCATTTTTTTTCCAAACAGCTTGTTTTCCCCATCATCATTTACTGAATAATTTCTCCTCTCCTCCATTAGTGGAAATAAGTAGCATAGCCTATGAACTGTGGCCAGCAGGGTGCAAGATGGACCAGTCCCTGAAACTCTCCTGGGATTGTCCTGCTGCCCCCTGGTGCCCAGAAGGCACTTTGCATTCCTCTGCCCACACCTCATGCAGAGGAGATCTGGGGTAAGCAGCAGGGTGGAGGCTGATGAAGCATTTTTCCCCAATATGGGCATTGAGAGAGATCGACCAGATGCATCTGGCTCATAGAGAGTGGTTAAATCGTCACTCCCCTGTTGCT